CGCACATACGCACACGCACGAACGCGCACGCACGCACACGCGCACACGCGCACACGCGCACACACGCACCGACGCACACACGCACACACGCACACACGCATACACGCACACACGCACACACCCACACACACGCGCACGCGCACGCGCACGTGCACGCGCACACGCATGCGCACGCACGCGCACGCACGCACACGCACGCACACGCACGCACACGCGCGCACAAACGCGGGCACACACGCGGGCACACACACGCGCACACATACGCGCACACACACGCGCACACACACGCGCACACACACACGCACACACACGCACGCGCACAAACGCGCGCAATCGCATACGCACACACGCACACGCACGCACACGCACGCACGCGCACACGCACGCACGCCTGCACATGCACATTCACACACACGCACACGCATACGCACACGCACACACGCACACGCACACACACGCACACACACACGCGCACACAAACACGCACACACACGCACACGCACGCGCACGCGCACACACGCACACGCACATGCACGCACACATACGCACATGCACATTCACACACACGCACACGCATACGCACACGCACACACGCACACGCACACACACGCACACACACACGCGCACACAAACACGCACACACACGCACACGCACGCGCACGCGCACACACGCACACGCACATGCACGCAACGACACGCTCAGCACGCACACACGCACACGCACAGCGCAAAACGCACAGCGCACACCGAACGACAGCACGCACAACGGCACACGCACACGCGAAGCACAAGCATACAAACACGCACACGCCACCTAACTGCAGCATTACACACACACACACTACGCACAACACACAGACACACAGGCGCCGCAGCGCGCACGCGTGCGCACGCACAGCGCCAGGCACGCGCAAACAGCACGCGCACGCAACGAAACACACACGCCCAGCTCACACGCACACGCCACACGCACACTCCAAACGCACACGCACGCAACACACGCACACAGCACCACACGCACGACGAGCACGCACATGCTCATGCGCACATGTACGCACGCACCGCACACAACGCAACAACAACGCACACAGGCACGCACGCACACAAACGCACACACACGCAACAACCACAGACGCGCACACACACACACGCGAACACGAACTTGGGACGCACAAACACGCGCACGAAGCACAGGCGGCACACACGCGCACACAACGCGCACAACACATTGATACGCCCACACGCACAACACTCCACAACACGCACACACACACACACGCGACAGACACGATCGCGCAACACACATGCACGACGCACGCAACCACACGCCACACACACCTGACAACCGCGCCAACCGCGCACACTACGGCAACACACGCACACACACGCGCACACACGCACACACACACACGCGCACACACGCACACACACACACACACAAACGCCACACAACGCACACACACCGCACACACGCGCACACACACGCACACACACGCACACACACACACACATCAGCAAAACACACGCCACATCCGTGTGCGCGTGCAGTGAGCGCGTGCGTGTTGCGCTTGTGTGTTCGCCTATGTGTGCTTTGTGTGTGTGTGTGTCCGTGTGTGTGCGTGTGTGGTGCGTGTGTGGTTTGGTGCGTGTGTGTGCGTGTGTGTGCGCGTGTGCGCGTGTGTGCGTGTGTGTGTGTGCGCGCGTGTGTGCGCGCGTGTGTGCGCGCGTGTGTGGGCGCGTTTGCGTGCGTGTGTGTGCGCGTGTGTGTGCGTGTGCGTCTGCGCGTGTGTGTGCGCGTGTGTGTTCGCGTTTGTGCACGCGTGTGTGCGCGTGTGTGTGCGCGCGTGTGTGCGCGTGTGTGTGTGCGCGCGTGTGTGTGTGTGCGCGTGTGTGCGCGCGTGTGTGCGCGTGTGTGTGTGTGTGTGCGTGTGAGTGTGTGTGTGTGTGCGTGTGTGTATGTGCGTGTGTGTGTGAGTGCGCGTGTGTGTGCGCGTGTTTGTGCGCGTGTGTCTGCGCGTGTGTGTGTGTGTGTGTGTCTGTGTCTGTGTCTGTGTCTGTGTCTGTGTCTGTGTCTGTGTCTGTGTCTGTGTCTGTGTCTGTGTCTGTGTGTGCGTGCGGGCGGGCGTGCGGGCGTCCGTGCGTGCGTGCGTGCGTGTGTGTGTGTGTGTGTTACGTCGCTCAGCTCCATCGAGAGGACGCAGCTTGCGTCGCCCCTCGTTGCGCCGCACGCGTCGCGTCGAGGGGCCGCGGTGGCAACGCACACGCCGGCGCCGGCACACTTCCTGAGGGCCATCGGCCTCCCTTGATTGGCTCGTTCTCCACCACCACCACCACCAGAAGGTGGAGTGGGAGAGGGGTCGTCCTCATCCACCTCCTCCTCCTCCTCCTCCTCCTCATATTCGTCCTCCTCCTCCTCGTCCTCCACCCCCTTCCTCCTCCAATCTATGGTGGTGGTGGTGGACAGCAGGCCCATCCTCCCTGGCGCGCGCCGCCGCCTCAGGAGGCCGGGCAGCCCGCAGCGGACAGCGCCCGCCCCGTGCTGCGGCTCCGGCTGGTCGGCTGAGGGAGCCCTGCGGCGGGGCGGCGGCCGCCCTCCGGCCCAGAGGGCCCTGCGCGCGGCCGCCCCCTGCGCGGCCGCGGGGCCCCTCCGCGGCGGGCAGGCCGTCGCCGCGGCGGCCGCGGGGCCCTCCGCCGCAGCGGGCACGGGTCGGAGGGCAACCAACTTTAGCACCTTTTCACCGATCCCCATCCCCATGCTCATCCTGCTCGAGGCCCCCACCAAATTGATTACACCCCCAGTTGGGGATACGCCCCTCGAAGCCCGAAGAATGCGCCCTGGACCCCCATCTGGGAGGGCAGATCAGCCAGTGGGGCCCAGCCCGCGCTTGTGGGGATGGGGATCGGCGAAACGATCCCCTCGAGCGCTGGTCACACCTGTGGGCCGATCCTGGCAAGGCCGATGCTGCGCCCCGGATCGGCGCATACGGTCGGTCGGCCGCGTGTCGCTGCGCCGGCGCTGGCCCGACACGCCGCGTGTCGCGACGCGCAGTATCCCCTGCCCGGAGCCCCGGGCGTGGACGTGCCGAGGCTCTGATCGGCCGCCCCGCCCAGGAAGCGGAGCGACACGCCATCCGCTCGAGAGGCACAGCGTGTCGCTGGAGCCGCCGCCGCGACACGCTGAGCAACGGTGCCCAACCGTAGTTGCACCTGATGGGCCTGTTCTCCGCCACCACCACCATAAGTTGGAGGGGGGAAGGAGGTGGAGGAGGAGGGGGAGGAGGAGGTGGAGGTGGAGGAGGAGGAGGAGGAGGAGGAGGAGGAGGAGGGCCCCCTCCCCCTCCTACTTATGGAGGTGGTGGTGGAAAACAAGCCCACCAGCACCCGCGGGCCGATCCTGGCTGGGCCCGGGACGTGGAGGGGTTCGGTTTTTCTTGTTGAGTGGCAGGGCGGGCAATGAAGATCTCGCAGTCTTGTCATGCTTGTTGACGCGTGTTGTATCCGTATCCTTCTTCGTTGTCTTTGTCTTATGTTTCCTTGCTCCTAGTATTACTATCCAGCTGTCTACGGCTTGAGTCCAGCCCAGTGGCTGAGACGGCGCATGGGAGGAGAAGCGCCCACAAAGATCGGCAACTCGTCCCGGACACTTCGGACGTCAACTCGGCCCCAAGACATACGTTCGCTAAGGCGGCAGCAACGGTCAAGTTAGCTCCAGTACTTCGTTCGCCATGGCGAGAAGAACCGTCAACTCGGCCCCGACACCTCGCACGTCACGACCCAAGTCGGTTTGAACCATCAGCTCGGCCCAGGCGCTTCGTTCGTCAAGGCGGAGGGTGCGGTGAAGAGGGCAGTCAAGTGGGTTCGTCAATGCGGAGGGAGGCCGTCACGGGGGTTTGTCACCCCAGAGGGAGGCCGTCAAGGGGCTCGCCAAGAGTTTCGTCAACTTGGAGGGGAGCTGTCAAGGGCGTTCGTCAACTCGGAAGGAGGCCGTCAAAAGGGGGTTCGTCAACTCGGAAGGAGGTGGTTTGTCAACTCGGAGAGTTGACTGCCAAAACCTTTCACCAAGAGAGAGTTGACGGCCGAATTCTTTCACTAAGATCGAGCTGGCAGCTCAAGCGCGAAATGATGTGTACATGGTCGTCCGCCGTGACGCCCTGGCCCACATCCAGACCTGCCGCCCGCGACAGACTCAACCTACGGTAAGTCCCGCAACCGTCTCTGGATTGTGGGTTACACGCCTAGTGGATGTTCGTTGGAATCTCGTGGGAGGCCTCTCGGGAGCCTCTTGGGGGCCTCATGGGGGCCTCTTGGGGCCTCTTGGGCGCCTTTTGGAGCCTCCTGGGGGGCCCTTAGGGCGGAAGACTCGGATTTTCGATTCGTGTTCGCTCTCTGAGGCCCTTTTTGGCGCCGTCTTGCGGCCTGCTTGGGCAGTCATGGGCGCCTCTTGGGCCATCTTGGGGCGCTCTTAGGCCGTCTTGGGGCCCTCTTGGAGGCCTCTTCGGCCGTCTAGGGGTTGTCTTGGGTGCATATTCGGCCGTCTTGGAGCGTCAGAGAGCCGAAAAGGCGAGAACGCCACACTCCTCCAAAAACGCAAGGAAAAGCTTCGAGCGACCGTTCGGCGACGCGGGGCCCTCTTGAACCTTGGGGCCTCCTGGGCCGTCATGGAAGCCGTGGAGAGAGCCCCAGCGAGGCGCCATGGTCGCGCAGGGACTCCCCGCACGGCCGGTGTGCGCAACGAGGGGCGACGAGGAGAGGGGGGGGGGGGCCTTAGAAGATGACAAACACCCTGCCAGACAGCACTTACCATTCCAGCACGCCTCAACATGCCAGGGGGGCACGGTGGCGGATCAGTTGCGTCTTTCTTCTTAGTATCGTTCTTTTTAGCTGGTGCGTAATCCTGGTACTATTTGTGATTAGTGATTGTCGCTGTGAGTATTAATCCTCGTCGCATCATCCATATCAACTTGTTTCTACTACTTCGATGTGTATCGCTATTATTATAAATCGCAAGATTACTAGTTTTATGATTATCAATACCATCATTGTTATGAGTATCAATATTGATATGGTTTTAACCGTTGCATTAGATGTATTACTATCATCATTATTACAAGTGTTATGAATCGCACCCGTCTTCTCATAAGTATTTCTCCTGTTGTCGTCTTCGCCTCAACTGCCCAGCTCGGAAGCTCGCAGCATGTTGCTGCCGTGAGCGGCTCGCTTGCCAGCCTTTCGGACCTGGCCTCCTTGCATCGCGCAGCCGCTGTGCGCTGGAATGCCTGGTAGCAGCACGGCCTTTTGACGACCATCCCCCCAGTGAGCTCGCCCGCCACTCCGCCCCGGTACAAGTTCGGATTGTTCTACGCCTTCGGGGCCTTCAGCCTTTGCTTCAGCCCCTGGGTGGGGGCGTCACGCCGCTCCACGTCCACTCCCCAGACTCCTCGACAACGGCCAGTCACACCGGCTACTTCTACCGAAGACCTTTGTGCTGTGAGTGCCCTCCCCTCCCTTCTTCCTTGCTCCGCGGACGCCCTCTGCCCTGTCTCTCTCCCTCTCTCTTTCTCTTGCTGCCGGAAAATTCGTACGTTTCGGCCCAGCGACAGGAGCGCGCGAGCGGATTGTCTCTGCCATGCCGCGACGGACAAATTGTTATCGTTGCCGTCGGTCGCCCTGCGACCCGCCCGCGACATGCCCGCGACCCTCCGCGACACGCCCAGCGAACGATCTGGCGACCCACCCGCGACATAGCCGCGACCCGCCTGCGACCCACACCAGCGACGCACACGCGCGACCCGTTCACGCTGTTGCGCAAGAAATCACCACCTCGGGCGGGCTAGCTGTGTTAAAGATCGGTGCGCGCGGCGGGTTCCTTTTCATCGTTTCTTTACCCAGGGGGCCCGTCGACGATCCGCCCGGCTACTCGGCCATCTCGCTGCATCTCGCTTTGCCCAAGAAGCCGAACTGGCGCCTGCGGCATAGTGATGGCCTAAGATTCAAGCGGCCCTGGCGGCGGGCATCTTCCAATGGCGCTGGACACGACACGGCAGCCCCCATTCCCCTTCGGTTTTATATGTTTTGTTGAGGGAGCTAGATAAATCGCCCCTGAGCGTTCCGGAAAGCATTCGGAGCGTTCCAGAAGTTGTGGAACGCCCGTGGCGCCCGACACATCGTCCAGACCCGTTGGTTCTCAGAGACTTTCGATTCCTGCCGTCGTCTTGCGCTGCTCGGTCTAAAAGAAACTCCGAAATGACAAACATACATTCAAAAAAGCGTCCCCAGGCTATCTTTTGACTATTTTTGAATTTTCCTCCTGTAGAGGGACAGGCCCGACTTCAATACACAGGTTGCGTGCAGGTGCGGTAGCGGCGGCGAAGCCTCAGGGGCGACAGCGAGCGCGGCCGAACTCCAACAAAGCCGAGGCGGGGAGTTATCCAGGACAAAATCGCCCGAGAAACGGACCATCGGGAACCTCGGCAGGCGTCGGATACGGACACGTTCTGGCCCTGGGGGGGGCGAAGATATCCATATCCGCCGCCCACTGGGTCGGGGTCGTCTGACCGATGCCCATCCCAACTGGGCCATGGTATCCCAGCTTCCAAACCCACCCAGGTGGGTAGGCACCGCGATGCCCGAAGGGAACAGCATGTATGATCATAGATCCCCACCCAGGGGGGCACGTCGGCCAGTGGGACCAAGGCCATGCCATAGGGGATCCGGATCGACCAAACGGTTTTCACAAGGATTCCGGAACATCGACTCCACAGGGAGTGGATAGGGACAGAGGATCGGGTGCCCGCTCGGAGCACAGGCGGGTGAACAACGGCAGGCGCTCGTGTCATTCACTCACAGGCCATAACACCGGGCCCCGATAAATAAAGGGTCCCCCCCCTTTCACCCCTCGGTGTTGAATTTATCCCCGGCCAAGACACGCATGGTCGGCGGGGGCGGAGGGGGGCGGGTTAGCAGCAACCGTAGCTGGAGTCGCAGCTGGAATCTAATTTTCCTGGGTAGCAGCATGATCATGGTCATGGTCATGATCATTGTCATGATGATGATGATGATGAGGAGGAGGAGGAGGAGGATAAGGATGAGGATGAGGATGAGGATGAGGATGATGATGCTGATGCTGATGCTGATGATGATGATCATCATCATCAGCAGCATCATGGTAATTAGTACTACTCCTATGACTGTCGTTGTTATTCTTATTGTTCGCACCATATGAATATTGTGTTATTCGTCTTTGTTCACCCTTGTAGGAGTGGATCATGTGCCGTGCATCCATACATCCATCCTACATGCAAGTTGCCAGGACAAATGTGTAGCATCCTCCGAGGATCCCGAACCTTGGTATCCACGGGGTGTGGTTATCGGGGGCACCCGATTCGGCCGTCTGGCGCGTGGGCATCGAGCTCAAGTAATCGCAAGCAGAAGAGGTCGCGAAGCTCTGCGCCAGCTGAGCAGGGCAGGGGGGCAAGGCAGAGACTGTGGGGGAGGTGGAGGAGGATGAGGAGGAGGAGGAGGAGGAGGAGGAAAAAGAAGAAGAAGACCAGCGCAAACCCAAGACCCAAGAACGATGTTGCAATCGACCCTCCCTCCACGTTCCCTTTTCACACTTCCCTACATGTTTTTTTTACTGGGGTAAATGCCCCGTTGAAAAAAATGTCTGAAATCCCGGAACCGTGCCAGAGCACCATTCCCTGGATCCCAGCGCCGCGAATGATCGTTATCATTTCGTCCTGCAACTTAACCGCTGCGCCCTGACAGTACTACATCGTGCCAACACATGTCTTTGGTACGTCAACCTCACAACTCCTCCAGACTGCTGCAAGCTCTCCAGACGAATGTGCTCGGCGCTAAGGCGAGAGCCACATTTTGAAAAGGTAGCGCCCTCCATCCGTGGGCTTTGGGAAACTTGTAAGACGCATGCTCGCGGCGAGAGCCACATGTGGAAAACTGCGCACCCGCCCTGCATCTGTGAATCTCTTACCGTTTTTAGAACGGGTGTGCACGGCGCTGAGGCGAGAGTCACATTTTGAAGAAAACTCCCTCCAGCCCTGACGTTGTTACAAATGTTCAGCTCAAGGGTCATCCATGGTGCGGACGTCTCAGGCGAAACGCCCGGCCCGCCCTGACGACACGCCTCGGGGCGCGACAGGGAGGAGTGTTGTTTGTTTGGCTGTTTTAAGGAATACGGTGGGGGCGCTGCTTAAGGGGAATGCGCACAGGAGGCCTCAGACCCGGGGGGGTACCTTGTCTAATAAGTGCGGCGGTGATATCCATTGCCAATCCACGATCGAAGCTCCGCTGGCTTCGAGACCCTGGGCTCCTTGTCGGTGGGTTCCTCATCCAATACCCTCACCGTGGAGACGACGCGGTAACTCTTCGCCTAAACCCCAGGGGCCGTGGACGTCATCGACAAGGCCCCGCCTCGCGCGGACGTCTTGGCATCGGGCCCCCCGCGGCGAGGCCGCGTGCGCGGCAGCGCGCTCCGACGGGCGGCCGCGGCGGCGGGCTCTATGAACCGCCTCCGTCGGGCCTCCCGCCCGCGGCCCCGGGCCGCCGCGCGCCCCGCCGCTGCCGGGCGCCACCCTCTAGCCCTCGGAGGCTCGCGCGTCGAGACAACCAGCCCGCACCATCGGCGCCTCGTCGGGTCACGGGATCCATAACACATCCACCGCCCTCGGCCAGGCCCAGCCTGGGCCCGGAATTGATTCACTCCCTGCCAGCCAGATGGTCTCATCGACCGCTCGTGGGCCCAGGACGGGCCTGGCCGGGGGCGGTGGGTGCGCACAGATCGCGTCGCCCTGCCGCGTTCCAGCGGCGTCAGCAGCGGCTCAACCCCTACCCCACCGTGTTCGGTGTCTGCATCTCCGTTCAGTCTTCAGCCCCGGGGCAGATTGGGGATCATCGCCTCCAGCGGCAGCTTAACATCAGCTCATCATCGTCCGTTCCCCCTGCTCCTCATCTTTCGCCTTCCTTGTTGCTTCCCTTGCTCCACACATGTTCTCTTCATATGCTGCGTGCTTCTCCCTGCTCGTTCGCGTCTCCCCTCTTCCTGTCGCGCCCGACTGACTCGACAAAGCGACCAATCCGATACCCCCCCTTTCGACACGAGCATGTATGGGGTCTCTCGCTGGCTTCGGGAGGTGCCCTCCTCGATTGTCCGCTCGAGGTGTACTGTTCCCGGCAAGAGGCATGGGCCGCATCCGCGCTGCCCTTCGCTCATGGTCCTCCACGGTTGGTGTCATCATTCGTGTTGCTGTGCTTGCTGCTCATGTGGCGCGCTCCGATCTTGATGCGCTGTCCTGAACGTGCTCTCTGCGTCTTGCCATTCTCGAGTGCAGGCGTCGGGGGGGGGGTCTGGGCCTTTGGGGCCTCCTCCTCCTCCTCCTCCTCCTCCTCCTCCTCCTCCTCCTCCTCCTCCCCTCGAGAAGTCGCCCCGACTGCCACCGCGGGCCCCACGTGGTGCTGGAGAGGTGCACGCTTCCTCGCCCGGGCGCTCGTGGGAATGCCCAGAGGGCCCAGGAGGTCGCAGGCCCCCAAACTTCCCAAATCGGTGCTTGCACTGAAGAGGTCCTAGCGGACAATGAAAGATTTGGCGAACGTTTCCCGCCGATTTGGGTAGCAGGCTGGGTGCCCGGGTGCCCGGTTCCGGTTTCCCGGGATCCCGGTTCCTGGTTCCGGGCCGATTTCGGTGGGTTCTGGGTTCCCGGGCTCCCGGGTTCCCGGTCGACCTCCTCAGCGAAAACCATCCACTGATTGGGTTTTTCTCTGGTGTAGTGCTTATATCCTCTGCCCTCAGCCCTCCTCACCCGACGTGGCCGATGGTCTCCAGATGTCTCCAGAGGTGCCCAGAGGTCTCCTGACGTCGCCGGAGGTCTCCGGAGGTCTCGGTATATACCCTATAGCTTCCAGAAGCCTCCCCCGGAGGCCTCCAGAGGCCCAGGCAGGACAAGAGCGCCCGGAAGCGTCGGTCCTCCTGAATCCTCCAACCTCGATCCTCCCCTCGCTCCTCTGTCCCTGATCCTCGCGCAATCCCTCCCCTCCTCGATCCTCGACGCTCCCCCTCGGCCCTCCCCGCCCTCCCTCCTCCCGGATCCTCCAGCCTCGATCCTCCTCCCCTCTCCTCCCTGCCCCCCCTCCCCTCCAGCCTCAATCCTCGCCCCCGCCCTGCCCAGCACACGGACCCGATCGCCACGCACGCGTGGATGTGGCTGGCGTCCGGGGGCAAGCAGTGGCGGCTGCTGGCGCTGCCGGACGGGGCCCGGCCGCCAGGACCCGCGCCTGCACGCCGAGGGGGATCGGCGATGCACGCTGGGGGTGGCCCCTCGCCGTGCGGGGGAGGACGGCGCCTTCGAGCGGAGGGATCCGGAGGCACTCGACGAGGAGGGGAGGGGGAGAGGCGGGGAAGGGAGGGAGGGCGGGGCAGCGAGGGAGGCAGGAGCCACGGCGCAGCAGCCCTCCTCAGCCGTCACCCCCTCACGCGACGTGCCCCATCCCTCTCCTTGATTCCAGGGGAACGAAGACTGACACAAACAGAACCTCCCTGGCGCGCTCCGCGCGCCAGGGGCGGCGCCGGAGGCACCGCCAGGGGGGTCCCAGCGCGGATCCGAGAAATACGCACGGGCCTCCGAGCTTTTCTGTTTGTGTCATTCGTCGTTCCCCTGTCCTCAGCCGTCACCCCATCTCGTGATTCACCGAGCGCGTTCTGCTACTCGCAAAGTGCCTACCTACTCGCAAACGTCCCCCAAAAACATGTGTTTTTACATGTAAGGGGTCGTAAATCATCCGCGGCGAATCCGGGCCATCTGCGAGCAGTCATTGTGCGAGCAGTGGAACGCGCTCGTCCAGTGATGTGCCCACCTTTGAGGACCCCAGCCTATCCGCAGGACCCCCATCCTCAGGACCCCACCCAATTGATGACCCCATCTCTGAACCACCAAGGGTGGGACCCTTCGCCGGGGTGACCTCTGGCGCGCGGCTCCCGGGGGGGGGGCCGCGCGGGGGGGGGGGCCGCGCGGGGGGGGGGCAGAGCCGGGCCCGAGCACGCGCGGGCCGCCAGCTTGCCGCCTCGCACGCGCAGCGGTCGGCAGGCGGCACCACGCCGAGGGCCGCCGGCCGCCCTTGCCCAGGGTCGCACGGGACGGGGCTGGGAGAGGCTCCATCCATTCCAGAGCTCCCTCCTCCTCCTCCTCCTCCTCCTCCTCCTCCTCCTCCTCCTCCTCTCCTCATCCCTCCTCCTCCTCTCCTCCTCCTCCTCCTCCTCATCCTCCTCCTCCTCCTCCTCCTTCTGCTCCTCCTCCTTCTGCTCCTTCTCCTGGGTTCCTCGCGTCCCAGAACTCAGGCGATCGCAAACATGGATCAAGGGAGCGTGGATTAGCGACGGGTCCCGTTTCCATGGCAGATCGCGGATTTCCGCCGCCGAACGAGGCGGCACCGGACGCAGTTTGGGGAGGGCACCTCCCCCGATCCATGGATTTGGCGACCGCGCGCCAAATCCATGGATCGCCAGTCCATGTTTGCGCGCCCTCGACCAGGGTCTCTCGGGACGGGGCGAGGACGAGGATCCATCCATTACAGAGCGTCACAGAACGCTCTCAGAGCGTCCCGGAACGCTCTGAGAAGGCCGGGGCGGCCGAGACTCTCTCTGTCAGAGATGCCCGATGTATCCTGACCCGAGTTGGTCCTCGTCCTGGCTTCGTCTTACCCAGGGTCACACTTCCGGCTTCGTCTAGCCGACACACGAGTCGGGTAAGAAGAGCAGAGCACCTCGTGGTCGGCTTTCTGGGGGAATGGGAGGCCCTCGTCTCGTCACGGCCGTGCCCGCCCCGAGAGTTCGAGCGAGCACGAGGAGGCCAGGACGTCCGCAGGATTGTTGCTGTTGAAGCGCTGTGTTGTCTTTGAGTGCGTTCCACAACCGGAGCATACACAACAGGCTCATCCGACTCCGCCGACCCCCCCCCCTCAAAAGGGGAGGAGCGGAGAAGCAGAGGGTTCTCGGCGGGCTCTGGTTTTAGCTGGAGTGATGCCCTTCGGCGGGGGAGGAGGAGGAGGAGGACGAGGAGCATACTGCGGGAGGAAGCGGTAAACACGTTGAGGCGAGTTGTACATACACATGTGTGCGCATCATCTATGTACGCGTGTCGATACAACACATGTGTGTATACACATGTAGTTCGTGCCGTGTATGTATTGTTGGATGCGTCCCTACGTATGCAAGTACGTGTGTTTACTTGTATTCGTATACGCATATACACACGCCTTTACGTATATACACAGATGTATATGCATATTTGACAAGGTATCACTGTAAGTTTATCGAAGACGCCTTCGGCGAACCACCGCTGCCCCCTGCCTTTTCGAAACGTCGATGCGGCCTAACTTTAGACCGACATCTTGCCAAGCTATTGGGCTGTACGTTCTCCCAGCCGTTTATGAAACCTTTTGGGGAACACTCGTTGAAGGACAAGGGAGGAGGAAAACGAGGAGGAGGAGGAGGAGGAGGAGAAGGAGGAGGAGGAGGGGAGAGGGGAGAGAGGAGAAGAAGGAGGAGAAGGAGGAGGAGAAGGAGGAGGAGACGGAGGAGAGGCCGACCTCTTAGGGGCCTCTTGGGGGCGGCTGGGGGCCCCTCTTGGAAGCCCCTTGGTCTTCGCAGGCCCTCTTGGGGTGCCCCTCTGGGCCGTCGGCGGACCCTATTTGGGTCCCTTCGGGTCGTTTTGGAGGTCTGTAGGGCCGTCTTGGGGGCCTCTTGGGCCGTCTTGAGGCCCTCTCGGGTTGTCCTGCGGGCCTCTTGGGGCCTCCTGGGCAGTCTTGGGGCGATCTGGGAGGCCCATGGGGCCGTCTTGGAGCGTCAGAAGCCCTAATAGGCGAGGACGCCAAATCATTGAGAATACGAAGGGACATCGATGGGTTTGGCATCCTGGAGGTCCTCTCGGAGCCCTCTTGGGGCGTCTTGAGAGCCAACTGGGCCGTCTGGAGGGCAATGGGCCCTCTTGGGGACATCGTGGGCGTCTTGGAGGCGTCTGGAGATCGTCCTGGAGGCCATCTTGAGCCATCTTGGCCGTCTTGCATGCTATCTTGGACCATCTTGGTCGCCTTTGGGGAGTTGCTTGTGGAAGTTTGGATATTTCTAGGTCTCTGGAAGCCTCTGGGGACCTCGGGAGTCATCCTCCTCTTCCTCCTTCCCTGTCCATTATCCCCTCTTTGCCCTTCTCCTCGTTTCCTCCTCATTGTGATCCTCTTCCTGTTCCTCCATCTCTCACACAGAACTCCAAGTCGTCGCACCGCTAGGCGTGTCGGTCGATGAGGCGGGCGGCGCGAATTGTCGAAAACGTCCTCTCAGTTGGCGGTCATGTAGCCTGAGACTCCCAGCATCATGGGGTGCGGTTCGTGTTCAAAACTTCCAACTCCCAACCTCTGCACGGATAGAGGGCGGAGGATGGTCCAAATGTGCTTCTCGTCTTAGCGCCGCGCACACCTACATTCACCAGTGGCACTCGTGCCAGCACATGTTGCGTTCATGATATCGCTCTCAGCTGCGCATCGCGAGCATCCGCCCTGAAAGCTTGCAGCTGACATGCGTGAGGAGGGCCGCTCCTTTCCAGGCAGGGGCTATCGCCCGAGGCATCCACCACCTCCCTTCGAGTCGCTCGGACGTGTGCATTGTTCTCGGTGCTGCCAGCGCGCGAAAATCTGGATCATCTAGGAGCACCTTGAATCACCTGGGGGAACTCGTTCGAGACCAAGCAATGCACGTGGACTGGACGTTCCAGCGATTGCAAGTTCTAGTATGCGAAATATTTCACCAGAGCAGAGCAACCAATCAGTTGCGTGTGTGTTGTGTGCGGTCGCGCGCCGGTGGTGAGCGATGCTAACGGGTCACGAGTGCGGTTCTCTATGTTCCCCACTCTCTGCTACCCATTGCATGCTCCTTGTTCTCTTCTTTCTGCTATCCACTCTCAACGTTTTGCTCTGCGTCCTCCCGCTCAACACTTGATATCTACCCGCCGCCCTCTGCGTTCCACTCTCTGCACATCATTACCCTCGGCTCTGCACTCGCCCATCTCCTCTCCTCGCTCTCTCCTGTATGCGTTCTGCACTATGCACTCCTACGCTCTGCTTCGTAGTCCATACCTCTCCACAACCAAGTCCATACTACATGGTCTACTCTTATTGTCGGCTCTCTCCCTCTCTCTCTCTCTCTTTCTTCATCTGTCCCTCTCTCTCTCTCTCCCTCTGTGTATATATATATGTCTTTAAATATATCGGAGTTTGGGTGATGAGTTCGAAGTGAAATTGAGATCCCCCACCGGGAAATCGGATTCCGCGTCGTGTTCGTGTCGTGCGTGCGGGCGAGGCGAAGCTGCGTGGGCGGGCGAGAAGAATGAACACACCGTGGCTAGGGCGAAACTGAGCTCAATTACTCTACGCCCCCCCCGTTGGCCGGCGGTGGCTCCGATGTGTCTCGCCGGTGTCACGGGGTGCACCGTGGTGTCCCGTGGCGCGGTGTCTCGTGGTGTGCCGTGGTGTCCCGTGGTGTCCCGTGGCGCGGTGTCCCGTGGTGTCCCGTGGTGGCCCGTGAGGTTGATTGTGAGATCGATCGTGAGGTCGGTAGTGAGGTCGACCGACAGATCGATAGCGAGATCCGTAGTGAGGACGAATGTGATATTAATAGATGTTGAGATCGATAGGTGAAGAGAGATCAATAGTGAGATCGATCGGTGGATAGGGAGTGTAAATTATTCCATAGGCTTACGCCATATCCGCCGACCCCTCTATAAACTACTGCGCCTCCATGACCGCATTCCTCGAGGCTTGTCCGAATCATGACACGGCGCTCGACATCGTTCCTGTTGCCTCGTTGCTGTTATCGTATTTTCCCACGCTTCGTCCCGATCCGTTCCCTGGCGGCCCCCGGTGGGCTCGGAGACGGCTTCCCGCTGCACGCAGAGGGTGTCAACAAAACCTTCTCGTGGGCGACAAACATGTTCGTACCCGCGGCATTTCCCGGGATGCCCCGCGCGTAACCAATCCGCGCGACGCGTATCCGCGGGATCGCGCCCCAGAATCCACACCGCGAGGGCGCGGATACGGACATGTTGCCGCTCGTGAGAGGTCGGGGGGCGATGGCGGAGGGCGAGGAAAAGTAGCAAGAATGCGTCAAGTTCAGGGTAGTGTGTGGCACGCTTGGGATGTCCGTTGGGATCTCGTGGCGAGGATTCTCGCGGGCCGCTTCGAGGCAGTCTCGAGGGGTCTTGGGGGCCGTTTTGGGGCTTCTTTT